GTGCCCATGTGAGCTTCTTGAATCTTCTATGCTTTAAGGAGATTTGTCTAACCTATGAGCACTTTTTGAGAAATACATCGCGGAAGCACTGCGGAAGAGGATTTCAACCAAACATGGCCCGCGGAAGCCAAAACGCAGATCGCGGAAGCTCCGCGCAAGCATTGGCGGAAGCAAGTCATGAGAAAAACAGATCGTAGACCGGTTTTTGACACCGCTCACGTGGGGTCACATCAGGTGGAAAAGAACCAACAAAGACTCTGAACCCATGGATGCTTTAGATTGTTGGCATGTTCTCCCATATCCAACCATCCCTTTGTCTCACTGGTGCCAGGTGCCACAAATGAACGATGGACAGACAATCTCCCCAATGATTCTATAGGATATTTGGGTTCTAAAGAATCCTATAGGATCCTATAGGTCTAAACTCTGGACTAGACATCTGAGACGTTTGCAAGCCATCCAACTCAGATACCCTTCGCACCTGTTTTGTGATCAAAGCGGACATATAAATTAGTAGTCCCCCAATCTTGACATGCCCACTTGGTTTTCATACATTTTCTGCACAGACCAAGACCACTTTTTGGTACTCTCAGCTCCTTCCTGCGAGCAGGTGCGGCACTGTTGCAAAATCATGTGCGATGGTGAGCCCAATTCGAAAAGCTGAGCTTTCCCAGCTTGGCGAAGGGGTTTGGATCGATTCCACACTTGCAACCCGTCGAGTCAGGGACATCCTTGGTTGAGTGATTTCTTTTGAGAGACGTTCCCAGAATTTAAGGGAACATGTTGTCAGGAGCATTTTGGCAGTATTGAAACTCTCCCTTTTTGGGATTCCCCCAAGCAGTGATACACCATCAGGTTGACTTTCAGGTCATGTTTTGTTATTTTTTGTTCGTTTGGTATACTGGGTCGAGTTGACGCAACCGACAAGCATTCTACAGTAAATTCACAAGTTGATCAGGCGCTCTCACTGGTAGTACTGTGGCGACGCGCCCTCTTACCGCCAGCACGCTGCTATTGTAGTTATGAACAACTGCGCTTTTGTCCACCCCTGACAGTCTTTTGTCCACTAACGGAGAGAAAGTCGAGAAAAGTTTCCAAGTTGCACTCCTTCGGGTGCAGCATAAAGAAGCGCTGATGTGCCAAGATCAAGAAAAGTGTCTACTTGGGGACACCAGGCTCACTGACCCCTTGGGGATTCCCAGTCTCACATGGCGGGTGTTTTATTGCATGCTAACCCCAGAATCTTTGGACGTGCACAGCAAATCAAGAGACATCGGCATCAGAACTGCTTGGCATCATATAATCATATATCACTGACGGGCATTCAGTCAGTCAAAGAGTGACCTTTTGGCAATAGAGAGATGCTCTTGCACTCTAAAGCAAGGCATGCTCATGTGCAGTGGTTGAGGGTAGCTGGAGAACATTGCTTCTTTCGCATTAGCGGATTCTTGGCAGTGACCTTTGATGTAAACTGTATTTTGCAATTTGGCTCCAGTTGGTCTCACAACCACAGACCTGAAAACTGCTGTCGATGGCCAAGACAGTGTTTGTTTAAAGCACAAGGTCAATGGAATTGGAACACGATCTGAGGCTGTTGACCATGGCAACCGGTGTGTGGGATCCTCGGAGGTCGCTTTTGATCACAACGAGGTATTTTGGTCACAACGTCTTGCCACAATCAAGAAACCGTGAACATTGAACAGTAGCTTTTTGCAGCTTTTTGCCGGCAAGGTACAACTTGAAGGTCCTGAACGATAATTGGTTCGAGGTGACTGGAACACTGTGTCGTCAACAACATAGCCACACATGGACACAGGCAACGACTCCACGACCAGCTTTCCAGCCACACGCAGACTTTGACACCACAGCTTCCAAAAGCTTTTGTCCACGGAGTGCAAGTAAGAAGTTCAAAATCTTCAGGGTGGAACAGTTTCATTGGTGAATTCTTGTGATGCCGCTTGTGATATTGCTATCCCAAGAGCAAGGGGTCATACACACCCAAGCACCCAATGGGCACAGAAGGACCCAGTCCGAAGGACCCATCGACGAACCCAGCCCTGAAGGATCGATGCCAACCAGCAGGTTCTCTTTCTGCAACGACGGGCATTGACAGGACCTGGCGGCTTCGTTTTCTTTGTCCGGCTAGTTGCCGCTCTTCAATTGTTCCAGGAAGTACGCCAGACCACACGAATCGGACCTCGCTTACATCGGCGAGAGGAGGGCAAAGCAAAGCATACATGTGTGTGTTCTTTTTCAGATACTGCTTACATCGGTGAGGCTTTGATGGCTTTGATGGCGGCTGTTGATCTGATAAGGAAAAGACAACACATTCATTTCTTTAGATTATTTTTTCTCCAAATTCTTTATCCTCCACGATTGTTTACAATTTCCATACAAAGGCATTTTCCCCAGAATGTGCGAGGTTTGATGTCCTTGCACGGATCAGCCGATTGCCCAATCGGCCTTCCTATGCACTGCCCTTGGACGGCTTTGATGAGAAGGTGCAGCAAACCAGCAGAGTGAAGGATGTATCCTGTCATTAAGCCTTTGATGGGCTTTTCAGCATGCTGCCCCGCCAAAGATATTCGCCATCAACGGATTCTGGTATCGTCGAGTCCAGCCGCCTTTCATTTTGGCAACGTCCGCTTTCGTGCATTCCTGGATCACGAGCAAGCGTGTCCTGGGCAATACAAAGCAAATGAGTGAAGGGATAAAGCAATGATGAGGAAATACTACCGGACCCTGCCGTGTACACAAACAAAGGCTCGGATGAAGAATGGGGCTAAGATTGCTAATTATTTTTTATTGGTGAGCTCGGCATGTGCATCCTGCCCCTGCTTTGCTAAGAGCGCATGGTGTGCAGATGTAGAGCCTCAACCTGCAACTGGAACGTGAAGAGCTAATGGTGGCCCTTTCCATGTTCTAGTATTCTGTGGAAATGGCGCCATGGCATTCCTTGACCTTCTTGCGGAAAGACATGTTGGAGACTGCTTGCAGCCAGCTTAGCTTGGAGATGTTTCAGGATGCACTGCATTGGTTTTCTTACACCCTGAACTCCGACAAAGACCAACGCTGCACCACCTGAGCTTCCTGAGAGGTGATTCAGGGTTTTGTGCGAATAAAGAGACTGTTTGTTTTTAGGTGGCGATTTGGTGGTTGCCCAGCCTGCAACCAGTCAACAACCCAGTATACTGAATGGCCATTGTTTTGCTCTCGGCAAGTTACCAGTGCTAAAAGCTCTTTCGCTGTTCGTGATAAGACAAGATGAACCCACGCCAAATCAGGGATGTGCTTTTTGAACTATTCTAGTTAGCAGACTTGGATTGTGCTTCGTGTGGGCAACAAACAGTGCAATTTGTGGAGCACTTTTGCGAGCTGAGGCTGTGCTTGTGGTGGCACATGTGTCGAATGGAGAGCAGCAATCTTGCATACCGCTCAGCAGTGTCAGTATTTCTTCAAAAAGACAGTCTTTGATTGCACTTCTAGGAAAAGACCGTGTGACTAGTCTGTGCAGGCTTTTAATTTCCACTAGTCCAGCTTGCATCAAAGCACCTGAAAGAAGTTGTAGGGTGCATCTTCAAAATGGATATCCAAAGTGGCCCCAGACCATCGCTCCTAGGTTGGAGGCCATCGCTAGTAGGTTGGAGGCCATCGCCAGTAGGTTCCTTTTGCTAGTGGGCTAGGATATTGCTTCTAGGTTGGAGGACATCCAAAGTGTTCCAGTCCATCCTGGTCACTTCCCTGCGACAAGGTAGCGACTCTCGAGCGACCTGGTACGGCTGCGTTGAGTGTCTGGCTTAGCTGAACTAGAGAATGATCTAGCAAATCTCCGGAGTTTTTGGATAGAAGGGTACACGGTACACGGATAAAGGAAAACGAAAAGGAAGGGCACACAGTGTTGGTCACTGGTTACCAAGAGTTGATGTTTACTTCGACTGGTCCGCTGTACAGTAGTTGATGAAAGGGCCTTTTGTTCCTTGATCTTCTGCTTGCTCGGACATGGGCAGTTTGAAACGCAGGGAAAAGTGCAGATGAGCTGGGGCCACTCCAGTGTAAAGTCACTGATCAAATTCCAGGCGCGTTATTTCGGGTGGGAAAGACTGGGTGACAAGGATTGGCTGTGGTGAGTGTATGGGCTTTAGGGATGTGCAGGGTGTTTTGGGCAAGTGACGACAGTTGTCTCAAGTCGCAGCTGTCAGGCCGACTATACTTCAAAGTCTTTGGCGTCCCGGAGCTTTTACGTTAATGCCTCAGAATTTCTTTTCGCTTCGCACCAGGCTGAAGGTGAATCCAATCTTTCAGCCTGGTTGCCAGTTCAGGTGCCGTTCGCTCGGTGGAGACGATTGGAGTGCGGCCCTTGGAGCCTCGCTCGGTAGGAGCGGTCTGCTTCGGTCTTCGAAACCTGCGGCGTTCGTAGGTGACGGTCCTGCGGCATTCGGAGGATCCGCTGGGTACCGTGCCCGGAGGGTGCAGAGATTAGCAGAGCACCAGTGCAATGATGTTTCTGAAGCTCTTTTTGGAGGAAGCAAAGCACTTACTCCGAGCTAAAGGCTCTAAAAAACTCTTTCGAAAGTGAAGAGACCAAACTATTGAGACTGCAGCGGGGCTGCAGGTACTTTCCTGAACTTCTCCGGAGCTTCCACTGAGAGCTGTATGCAGAGAATTCTTACCACGGCGCTGCCCTTACATCCTGACGAAGGCAATGTTGGCATAGTTCCGTAAGAGGAGCGGACTCAAACTATCCACGTGACAAACCACAAAAGAAACCATGTGACTGCCATTCTTATGTAGTAGGTTTCATGAATCTCTGAGGTCATGTCGGCTGACTGGTCCAAAGCGCTGCTCTTTTGGGCTCTCTTGGTTGGCGCGCTTCCCAGTTTCGAACTAAACGGAGTGCGCGGGAGCAGGAACGGAAGTGTCGCTGAAGTCAATGTAGATGGCAACCACCTCGAGAAGCACTCTTGTGTAAGCTCTCAAATTCATATCGAGCAAAGCCCGAGGCCAGCCCTTTTCTCCACGATCGTGGTGGCCTTGGTGATGGCCGGTGTGCAGTTGTTTCCCCGATCCAGGCATCAAGGTGGCCTTTCGACCAACCCCCGATACGACTCTCTTGGCAGTAGGCAACCCCTTACCAATGGTCTTACCCTTGTTTGCCATGGTTTACTGTATGACTTATGACTCCAAGTAGTGGGGAGAGAAAAACATAGGGGCGATGTGATGTCATCGGGGGTCTTCGTTTCCATTGAGCACTGTCTTTGAGGTTTCGAGTCAAAGCAAAACGCTCTACGAAAGTTGGAAAGGCCAAAGCACAGCAGTGGTGTCAGCAAGTACAATGGTCGGATCCACTGACCTATGGGCTGTTCATCTACTTATCCTAGACGTCAGTCATCCATTGGCGTTGCTATAGCTGCCCGGACTGGACTTAAATATCCTTTTGCCCAATAGACCCTCAGCGACAACTGAATAGGGGTCTCAGGAAAGCGAAACAAAGCAGGTGAGGCACTCTTCTTGGGCAGGGCACAAGACACGATTGGTTTGAATCCATCTCCTTTATTCCATCAAGACTCACTGCAGTCTGTCCGGTTGCGAAGGCCTTGGTTTCCTCCGACGCTCTCGCCGAAGAGGCAGGCAAATGTAACTTTTTGGTCTTCCGTGTGCCTCATGTGCATCATGTGCCAACCCAACCCGTTGGCTCCCCAACGACACTCGGAGACCCAGTAAGCTGTGGGAATCTTATACACCAGTGCCCTAGCCTAAGCCCTTCCGCGCAGGTGGGTGCTGCGCTATTGGAACGCTTCGGCTGGGCCGTGGACTTGCAGGCGCCGGAGCTGGAGGCGAGGGCAGAAGGACCTTGCGAGGCCTGGAGCTACTAGTAGCGTTCTTGCTCCTAGTAGTAAGGCCAGGAGCCCGTAGTAGCGTCCTGCTTGTGGGCTGAGCTGTTCCGAAGACTCGCCAGGTTCGAGTGCAGCTGAATCAGGAAGAGCTTTTGGTGAGCCTCACAGCTGGGAGCTCGACTGCTCGGTCTGGCCAAGGGGTGCAGTCAAAGTGAGCTCAAACTCTTTGTTCTTCTGTGTTTTCTTCAAATCATCTCTACAGTCTACAAATCAAGCTGAGACAGCTCATTTTGTCCAGGCGTTGGTGCAGCCGCTGGGTGCTCGTGGTTGCTATTTGGCACACCCAGGCGTGTCTGGACTGTGTGACAGTGGAGTGAGGCAGACGCCGGACGCGCTCTTGAAACTTTCAACCGGTGGAACCACGTTGTGCGTTTCGGGCTGGAGGCCTGCACCCAGCCATTGCTTGGGCGCGATGGCCCAGTGGGTCTCCATGAGGTCGAGGGTATTTAAAGGTCTGGTCCACGTCACTAAAGTCTTTTTCAAACGTCCTGAGATCAATCGTTGATTGCATTGCATCGAACTGGTCTACCGACACAAGGTCTTGGCACGTTGCCTGAACATCGAAGAGCAAGACACGGTCTTGGATCCTATGTGCGGGAGAGGGGTTGCCTTGGCATGTGAATCGAATGGCTTTTTATTGGAGGATTCTTTCTTCTTGCACGTCAGGTGCTTCTGTGCGAGGCGGCTCTCAACTGGCCACATGCAGGCTGGCCACAAGCTGGACAGCATTTCATTTTCTGACCGAAAACATCATCAATTTATCCATATGATGTGTCTCACTTCCTTTTGATGGCCTTTGGCTTTGCTAGGTGCATTCATTGGGTGCGACCTGGACCCTGATCAGCTGCGGCTGGCTGCTGAGAACGTGGCAAACCTCGCTCGGGGGAGCACCAGCAGTGCCCACGCACTTCAGCTGCTGCGGGCTGATGCAGCAAAGCTGGGGGGACTGCCGTTGGCCAAGGGCTCCGTGGACAAGGTGCCTCACTATAGATTGGCAGGATCTTGATTTGTGTTGATTTCAGACCAGACAGAAGCAAGTCACCGTTACCGAAGTCACTTGTTGATTGTGAAAGTGAAATCTTTAGGTAGCACTTTTTCTTCTGCCAGAGGTGCTCACGGACCTTCCGTTTGGGAAGCAGTTTGGTTCTCTGGACACCAACCGCAGCTTGTACCCCGCGGTGCTGGCCGAGCTGGCCCGGGTACTGCGGACGGGTGGCCTGGCAGCAGTTCTGACTAGCCAGTCGAACCGGGCGACGATGCGGGAGGCGCTGGCGGGTCAAGCAGGCAGACCGAGCAGCTGGAAGGTGGAACACTTGAGAAGCTTTCGGCTTTTTGTGAAGATGGACGCCTGCATCTACTTGCTGCGGAGGGTTGAAGTGGAAGGAGGATTGGATGGTGGGGAACGGGGAGGAAAGACGAAGATGGGTGGCTTGTCGGGTCCATTTGGCTGGGAAGATGGGTCGAGTTGGCACGAACAATGGGCTAAACATCGCCCAGCATTGGTGCCCTTTGGCAGTGCGAGCAAAGAGCGGCTGGAGCCCATGAAGTCATCCTGTGCAGATTTGTGCAGTGTCAGCTTTTTGCCGTGGGTTGTTGGTTGTTTCAGGTGCAGAGAACAGATTAAATGGGAATGTGCAGAATGTCGGTGTTGCTAACATTGTTGAGGGATGTTGAGGAACCTCCATGAACCATGTGAGTTGCACTTAATCAGAGATGCAACCTCTTTATGGCCTCTTTGCCGTTCTCCCGCAGCCATTGATTGTCGGAGCCTTTGCTCTCGGTCCTATCGCCTGTGGCATCTTCAAAGGACTGCCTGGCTTTTGGAAGGCAAAGGCGGCAAAGGTATGTTGATGCTTATCCTTTTCTATATACAATCACTGTTAAATAGTTTAACAAGACTAAGTATGGAGAGCTGTAAGGCCGCATCGTTTTGGGGTGGATGCACCATAATTCCAATTTCAAGGCCCTGCACTAGGCCACTGGATAGGACTCACTTGGATCTCCAGATGAAGGCTCACAGTTTCAAAACCTCAGGACAAACAGTTGAATACCGGTCGGCATTTTGGCTCGCTTGTGCTAGAGGCTCCAAGAAATCGGCCGGCGGCTTTTGGATGTAGAGTGGCCAGAGCCTTTGTGCCAGCATGGCTGCGAAATCGATTCTTTTGCTCGCCGTTCAGCCTCTCGGCCTTCGAACACTCCACCATGGCGTGCCAGTGCCAAGATGTTTTCCTAGCTTCTATGGTGGAGGCCATTGCTATTAGGTTGGAGGCCATCGCTAGTAGGTTGGAGGCCATCGCTAGTCGGTTGGAGGCCATTGCTTATAGGTTAGCCATGCGAAGATTGAACGAAGAGGTCGCTACCTTAACCATTTTCCGGCCTTATTTGCACTGGGCGTCGGCTGTTGGCTGGTATAGTCAATTGTAAGAAGGTTATATTCTACAGGTAACCGTACGCCGTCTTGTTCAGGAACAGAACCTCCCATTCTGGTCGGAAAGTAAGAAGAGCTCTGAGAGGTCCAAAGGACCAGGTTTCCGGTCACGCCAACAGGCACCATGGAATCGGTGGGCATTTGCTGGGGGTTAAGGGGGTTAACCATGGTGCCTCCGTTTTGACCACATCGCCAGGTTGCCGTCCGTATTTGCATCAGGGCTGCCGAATCTTCCGTCTGAGTCTGGAGCCAAGCCTCAAGCACAACAGAGAAATCGATAAACAATGATAAACATACCTAGCCGACAGCGCCACTGACCTGACCAAGGGGGAATCTTACGGAGCAGCATCCATGGTGCTCTGTATCAGTGTGGTTCTCAGACTTCGGTGGAACCTTTGGACTTTTTGGGAGTCATCAAATCAATCGTGTTTCTTTGCATGGGATACTGGCATGTATGTGCTTGGTCAGTGCCAGGTATCCCGACGAGTCCGTAGCCATGTGGATGAAGCAATCCAGGAGAGGGGAACGGTCGATCTTGAGAAGTTTTGAGATCTGCATGATCAAAACATGGGATCTTGTGGGATCTTATGCCTGGTCTATGCCATTCAACAACGGTCAGGCCCACCACATCCTGCAGAAGCTTCCAGAAAAGTGTCCGCTCCATCCGCAGAGAGACCTCTTAGCAGACAATGGTATCTTGGACTGGAGATGGTGGCACTTAAAAGGCTTGTTTTGAACTGTTCTTCATCCGTAGTTCCCTTGTTTCAAACCAAACACAGGCAATGGATCAGAACCTGGGCAATCGGTTTGCATGGCTGACTACTGCGAGATTTTTGGAGTCGCTTGGCGAGCCCACGAGAGAAGTCCACCAGGCAGTCAAGGTTTGCACACGTTCTATGCTACAGCTGCTACAGTCTGGGTACCCGCCGCATGGTACGTGTCTTACCAGTCTTTACCCAGTCTTTACCAGTGTGCCTTTCCATCGGTCGAATCGCTGCGACGCCTCATGATCCGAGGCCTGCGAGGCCGACCAGGCGCCGTGCGAGGCACAGCGGATGGCGGAGCAGAAGAAACGCTGCGAAAAGCTGCTTCTGCAGTGCTTCCCCCCCGGGTCTCAGGCGGGTGGAAAGTGGAAGATGTGGAAGCGGAAGGGAGTGTGGCACATTCACTCAACTCACATGTATTTAAAAGCCCTTGCAGGGACTTCGAGGATTGGCTGATGGACTAGTTTAGTTGTTGTGTTTGTATGATTCGCCCCAAGGTATCAGAGTGCAGTTCTTGATAAGGTCCTGTCTCAATCATAGGCAAATCCTTGGATTTGCACATCCTGCAAGCGAATTCAGCTTGTGCAGGATGTCGCCACACGGCGATTGCATTCACACTACTCAAGGAAGTGGTGCCGAGAGCTGGACTGTGAGCTCCGGACACATAGAGAAGAGGTCCGGTAACCGTGGCGGTTGGCCGGGGCGGTTCTGGGCCGCGGGACCTGCGGTGGTGTTCTATTTCTTTAGTGTCTGAAAGATTTGAAGATCAGGCAACAGTGGACTAGAACACGGGGACACCAGCCATTTCTGGTCTGAAGTCAAGGTTACACACAGTTTTCAATGTACTTCTTGTAGGCAGTGCCGGTCGGGGCTTTCGTAGGCGTCAAATTCAGGTGCTTGGGGATATCTGTAAAGCCTCGTGATTGCCTTGCAAGTGTGCGTCTCAAAGTGTGAGCCTCAAGCACACAAACTCAATCAAACTCACATTCTTCTGATCTGGTGGCCCGTGGCTAGGAGGACTTGAGATCCTTAACGGCGATCTCCCCATTGTTGGGCTTCATCGTCGTGTTGTGCATGGCAGCGTTCGCTGCGATGATTCTTCTCATCGGAGGGGGAGACGACGTCCTCTTCCTCATGTACGAGTGCGGGTTGGTGCCACAACGTTTGATGCGAAGTTGGGTGCAAACTCGTGATGGCCTGCGAAAATACGCAGGACTTCCAATCTCCCACGTCTCCTAGTGTGCCAACAAAGTGCCACAGAGCTGAATAGGCGATCCTTCAGGTCCACAGAGACTTGGAAGGCATAAATTCATTACTTCGTTTCCGAAGTGCGTCCATCTGGAACGCACGCTGCAGGAACGGTGAAGATTTCAGAGCGGCTCATGCAAAAGGGTTGATGCTTTGGAGTAGATGGAGATGTTCTGAATGTTCTGTCTGGCTGGGAGGTCTTTCAGTGGGTGAGTCTTGATGGTAATACAAGGCCTTGTCTCTGAAAATCCGATGGCAAGTTTGGCAGGATCCTGTGGCGGGGCAAATGGAGGAGGATCTTGGTCTCAGCCTGAAATGGAATAAGTTTGTCTGCATTTTGCCTTGTTTCTTGGTGGAAATGGTCTCAGGTGCCAACCTGAAAGCCAAGCTGCAGCCGCGGCGGCCAGGGGAGAACTTGAAGGCCAGGGTGAGGCTGAGCAGTTGTAGATGGAGTTTAGAGCTGGGAGGAGTTGCGTGGTCAAGGTTTGCACCCCAAAATGTGTGTGTAGTCAGTGAACCCAGGAAAATTATTTGGTGAATCTTTGAACTGTCCACAATTACCTCAGGTTGATAAGACCCACAACCGTTTGCGGTTGGCCAATTTTGGTGTACTTGTCAGGTTCTCATGTCTTGGGTTATGAAACCTAACACACACACAGAAGAGGTCCGAGATGAAAAATTAAAAACACAAAAAACATACTCAAAATAAAAACAACCACCAAAAACAAAACTAGACTCCGCCCAAAACCAGAACTCAAGACCAAACACAAGAACACCCTCAACTGGAGACTCAAGTAGCAGAAGGTTGAACAGAGGAAAAAAGCCAAATCCGGACTCAGCAACAGAGGATTTGAGTCTGGATTTGAGTCAGTCTGGATTTGAGTCAGGATTTGGGTCTGGATTTGAGTCTGGGTTTGAGTCTGGATGTGAGTCTGGATTTGTTTGTTCTGAGGGAAAACGAAAACGCAGGTTCCAGCCCACCCTAGCCTAGCCACACCAAACTCAAACTGGAACTCAAGCTCTTGAAACCAACACCAGACTAAACAAATTATTCACATTGTTGGTTGTTTTTTGTTTTTTTACTTGACTCCTTACTTGATTTTTTGCCTTCCATACGGTGTCTCTTATTTGAGTATTGTTTTTTTTTAGTCTTGTCCTGAGTAGACCTGTTCTCCTGAGTGTGCATTTGTTTTTCCTATTTGTTGATTTTTTGAGTCTTTTTTGTTTTCTTATATAACTTTAAGGGATTTTGGCTCTGTGTGTTGAGTTCAATTTCATAAGTCTTGGGATGTCCAGGAATGTTTTGATCTCACGCTTTTAGCAATGGGGGAGCTGAAAGCGCAGGGTTCACTGCAGGTGGCCCAGACCGTGCTGAAGCGCACGGGCCCTTGAGGGTGGTGGGGCTAGTCCACTCGATAGAACCAAAAGCCTCCTTGTCCCTGTTTCTATCGGCAAGATGTTTGTTTGTGGTGGTGTTTGAATGACACTACGAGCAAGATTTCCTTATCCAAGGACGCGACAGGAATCTACAAGCAGCAGCAAAGAAAGCTCAACAGGTTGCAAAGCCACAGCCTCAGTGCTGAAGAGCAGCGACCAATTCCTGTGGACGTAAGATGAAGCAACTTGTTAGGGCAGTGCAGTGTGCAGCTGATGTGCGACCAATGTTCAAGTTATTTTCTCGCACAGCACTCAAAGCACCAGGGCTCTCCATGGTTAAATTGCAGGTGTGCTTTGAACTCGTAAGAGCTGCAAAATCTGCTCGTGAGTCTGAACGTGTACTCCAAAACTTGTACTTCTTCTCCCTGGTTGCAGCATGCATTTTAACCGTACCGCAATTTGTTTCTCAGGCGAAAAGCGGATGAGCGGAAATACAAAAAGGGTAACCGCATCGTCAAGATGGAGACGATCTTGCAGCGCTCGCTGAGAAAGACTGGGATGAAACGCTTGAAAGCGGAGTTGAACTCTGGGTATCTGAGTTTTATGCTGGGTGTTCTTTGCTTCCCCGCCTAGATAGCTGTAAGCCTGTAAGTTAAGCGTTTGCATCAGGATCAAAGATCAGAAACGCCTGAAGCGATTTCACCATGAAAAGAAGCCAAAGCCTGCCAAGAAGGCCAAGCGAAGAGTGAAGTCGAGTAACAAGAGTTGTTTTTGCTTTGGATTCCAGGGTGCCGGAGACTTGGATTGCTTCTAGAATGTAGCGATAGCAATCAAGCACACGTGCACAGCCTCCGTTTGCAAAACATCTCTGGGGCTTGAGGAGGTAGTTTATTTTTCGAGTGTCAGCTGATCTGTGCTTTGGGGGCAGGGATACATGCGCTGAACAGGCGCTTTGCTAACTTTGCTACAGGGGAAACATTGATGTTCTCAGCAAATTGCAGGGGCAAGTGCTTGCCATATGCCGAAATGGCAAACCTGGAATCAGCAAGAAGGCCATCAGCGGGTTTTGATTGCTTATCGCTTTATTTTTAAGAGAGCCCGACAAGTCATCAAGGATTGCCTCTACAATGTCCCTCGAAGAACTCTTTAGAGGCTTAGTCAAAACTGCCAAGGTGCATCCTTGAATTACTAGTGTCCTGCGCAACCATATTCAGTCCCCACATCTTCTACCTTGTCCAGGCGAAGTCTTACCTCAGAAGCCTTCGAATCAGGAGAAGGCTGCGTATGGGCAAATTTGCTCATCAAACGGGATGAGATCCTTTGCTCGGTTTGATGCTCCAAAAGCACGTGTGTCTGTGAGGCACATGATGACCTTCGTCTTGAACAACGAGGAATTTGCGACCGTGCTTTCCTCCAGCATTTTTGGAAAGGGGGTTCACCCAGCTTCCAAGAAAAGATATTTATAGTACAACGTCCTTTCGATTCAGATTCCAAGGTGCAGCCCTTTAGATTTCAGAGCCTTAGGAAGCTACTAGTAACAGGTGCATCACTAGTAGTAACAAGTGCCTTACTAGTAGTAACAAGAAGCTATTAGTA